GTAACACGGGGGACACAAGGGGGAGAGCGGCCGGTGTAACGTATTGACATGGATCCCAATGATAGTTTCGACACAGAAGAAGTTGAACATGAATATTCGAATGCATATGACGGACCACAACCTTAGAATTATGAGCCTGCTAGGCGTCCAAGAGACCAGGAGCAGCCAAGGATTAGAAGAAATAACGGCCATCGGAGAGAAATTGAGCTGTGGTGTGAGGAGAACCAGTGGAGAACTGGGCAGCTATCTTGGTGAGTGACCGGCGTTAGGTTCAGAATGTTAGCTAACGTCACATCACAACATTGTAAAGTTAGCTATCATATATCAGGCTATAACTAAAGTAGCATTGATAATATAGTAACGTTACTGGCAGGACTGTTGATACTGATCCATAACAGAAACTAATGCGCAAGTATCAGCCGTATCTCGCGTTACCTAATGCAACTCCACACTATGGTGCTGTGTACCGGAGGAGAGACGCGAGATACGGCTGATACTTGACGATCTGGCGGAGAAAGGTTGTGGAGCCTCCGTTGATACGCCGTTGTAAATGGCTTGATGGAAAGCAGGTGTGTAGTCGGGGAGGGTGCACAGCTGATTGCAGCAGGTGAGTGGAGGTTGAGCCGGGAGCCAGGAGTGACAGCCACCACGCACACACAAACAACACAGACAGGGGGAAACAAACAAACACAAAGGAGACGGCTGGAGCAGTACAGCCACCACAGCGTTACCTAATGGAACTCCACACTATGTCTTACGGTGCCGTGTACCGGAGGGGAGAGAGAGAGAGCAGCGAATGGGGGGGGGCGAGAGAAGTAATACGGTTTCCTAATAAAGCTGTGGAGAGTATGTGCTGCAGGGAGGTGGATGCACAACGCACCCAGGAACGAACGCTAGCTCCGGTCCTTTTTACTGTGGGCTCGATGTCCTGACAGGCTGGTATTTGTGCAACCTGCACAAACACAATACTGCACCATGATTACAAATGGTGAAATACAATGTAAAACTACCGAAAAATACCAGCTCCTTAAAACACAACCGCTCTACTCAACGCAACTCTACTATACCCGCGGTCAGAGAGCGGAGATGTGTCCCCTGTGTGAGGTAATATGACGCGTTTGACCTTAAAAAAAAGCCGTTTTTAAGAGCAGAGCTCAAAATTGCTCCTTTCCCTCTGAATTCTTGCACTTATGTCTCGTAAAACATATCAAATCCTGCATTCACTTTTTTAATTGTAATTTTCAAGCAAGTTTAAGCATAAATGTAGAAAAAATAAAAACCTGCAAGATGCTCTTTAAATTGTTTCCATTCCTAAAGTATTCTGTGCAGACTGCTTCAAAAGAATGTTGGTCAAATATTGTCTATTTTTATTTTCAGAAGTAATCAAAGAAAAGGGCTTGGAGCATGTGACTGTGGAGGACCTTGTGGTAGAGATCACTCCTAAAGGACGAGGTATCTATATATTACATATGTATTTGGCAGAACAGATACGACACGTTCACAGCTTTTATTGCTGTGCCTAACATGTCTTTTAGAAATTACTCTTAAAAGACATGTTAGGTACATGCTTTCTTTGCATTTGTGTTAATTTGCAAGCAGTAAAACCATACTTTTAGGCTTTTACTTTAATTCCCTCATTGACATCAACAATTTTTGCATCCATCATAGATACACAGAGATGCTACTTATTTCACCCACAGCTGCCTCAGTTGGCTCATTGGTCATTGATATTATTTCTCTCTCTTTTGCAGCTTTGGTGCCGGACAGCGTCAAAAAAGAGCTACTCCACAGGATAAGAGCCTTCTTAGCTCAGCATTCCACATAATTTAGATTTTTTACTTTTCCATTGACAATTTGTCTTTTTATCATAATGCAGAATATTTTGTATGGATTGAATTACTTGAATCTCAAAGATTTGTTTTTGTTGTATTGCATTTCAGAGGCTTGGCACACACTTATCACAAACGGTTTGTGTTAATGCTCTACATGTACATGTCTAGTTGTCCTTTGTAAGAGATATGCTGTATAAATAAAGTTTTTGATTTACTAAACATTCATTTGATATGTAATAAAACATGCAGTATAATAGTAACAATACAAATAAAATAAACAAGTTATGAATATTCATAGCATTCAAATTTGAGCTTTTTACTACCCCAACTTCATTCTTATTTCTAACATTTTTAGCAGTTTTGGTTGTTGTATTGTATCTTTAAGATGTTATTGCAGATTGTATGCAACATGAAATAAATGCTTAACATATTAATACCACAGATGTAATAATAATAATAATAGCTTTATTTTGTTAGTGCTTTTTACAGGTGGTCAAAGTCGCTTTACAGAGATAGTGAAAGTAAAAGAACAAATAAATATAGTTACAGTCAAATTAAAATCAAGCAATACAAAAACAATCACACATTATAAGCCAGATTGAAGGTGGTGAGGTCAGTGCAGTCTCTGATGGGTTGTGGGAGTGAGTTTCAGAGGGAGGGGGCAGCGACGGAGAAGGCTCTGTCACCCCAGGTCCAGTGCTTGATGCGGGTGGGGATGGACAAGAGGTTGGCTTCTGATGAGCGGAGGCAGCGGGAAGGGGTGTGGTGTTGCAGCAGGTCTGTGTGGTAGGGGGGGCCTGATTGTTGAGGGCTTTGTGAGTAATGAGCAGGACTTTGAAGTCGATTATTTGACGGACGGGGAGCCAGTGGAGGTTCTGGAGGACGGGAGTGACGTGGTCTCGGGAGCGGGTGTGGGTGAGGAGGCGGGCAGCAGAGTTCTGGATATGTTGGAGTTTATTGAGGAGGTTGGATGGTATGCCTTAGAGGATGCTATTGCAGTAGTCGAGTTGTGATGTAATGAATACATGAATCAGGGTTTCAGCAGCAGAGGAGGAGAGTGATGGGCGGAGACGGGCAATGTTTTTCAGGTGGAAAAAGGTGGTCCTGGTGATGTGATTGATGTGGTGGTTGAATTTGAGCTGACTGTCGAAAATGACTCCGAGGTTGCGGATGTGAGGGGGGGGAGATAGAGTGTGGCTGTCAATGGTGAAGTTGAAATTCTGGATGTATTTGATACGGGATGGGGGGCCGATGA